TCATTGTTTCCCATTTTCCATTTAAGTTTGTTTCTTTAATATTCACTTAGTAGTAGATGGTAGCGAGAGAAGAGGGAATTTACTGGGCAGAGAATTTTGGAGCAAAACAAAGAAAGGTGTTGTAACTCTCGAATGGTGTTTCAGAGAAAAACTTGTAGCTCTCCTGAGACCTCACTGTATGAACACACTGACCAGTCGTTTTTGCTAGTTTATTTGCTCGCCCTTCTTGGGGAAAGTCAGCTTTATTCTTTCTTATTTTGTGTGTTATACTTTCGCCATCTTCAGAAAGTCCTGATTGATGGGGAATTTCTAAAGCTTTGCCAACTCCAGAACTGCCTTGTTTCCCGAAGGTTGAAATAGCAGAGGTTTTTACTGAAAAATCATTATTTTAAAATGTCATGTGGTTCCAAGGTAAGAGTTCATTTTCGTAAGCAAAAGGAGTCGTTTGCCAGGAACTTAAATTATGTTTAAAGTGAGAAATTTAAACCACCTGAAAAATGAAAGATTGATTACATATACTTCTCTCATTTTGGGAGGCTGAGGTGGGTGGATCACTTCAGGTCAGGAGTTCGAAACCAGCTTGGCCAACATGGTGAAACCCCGTCTCTACTGAAAATACAAAAAATTTAGTTGGGCGCGGTGGCAGGCGCCTGTAATCCCAGCCGCTTGGGAGCCTGAGTTAGAATCACTTGAACCCAGGAGGTGGAGGTTGCAGTGAGCCGAGATCGCACTGTTACACCCCAGCCTGGGCGACAAGAGTGAAACTCGGTCTCAAACAAAAAAAAAAGAAGAAAAATACTATTAGCCAAATATAGTTTGTTCTTGAGTCAAAAATTAGCCATCATAGACACAACATGTTATTTTTCATTGTATATAGTTTGGTCAATTTTGCACAATTCAAAGTTTTCCAAATCAAGAGTAATCCTATTTCAGAAAAATATTCAGAAGTATTTTCTGAAATATATTGTTTCCTCTTGATGGTGTATCTTATTTTTCATTTATTATTCACCTTTTATTGGGTGAAAAATACTTCTCTCTTTGTTTTTTATAATTCTTCAGGACTTTAGAGTCTCCTGTCTCCCAGAAGTTAGCCAGTTTGTGTCTGGTTATTTTATTCCCTCTCCACAAACTAGGGTTTTCAATCATTTCTGTAATTTCCCCCCTTTTGCATCTTCTTTCTCCTTTCTTTCTTTCTTCCTTTCTTTCTTTTCTGTTAATCGAAGTTACCTTTCTCTCTCTGTCTTGCCTCCAGGCTGATATTTTGCCATCCATTCGTTTTCTGGCTTTTAAATTAATTGAGATATAATTATGCCATAAAATTCATTCCTTTAAAATATACACTGTAGTAGTTTTTAATATATTTACAGAGTTGGGCAGCTGCCATTATTACTTAATTTCAGAACATTTGCAACAATCCGAAAAGAAATCTTGTGTTCATTAGTAATCACTATTACCCCTCCTCCCAGTGCCTGGCAACCACGGGTCTACTTTGTATCTCTGTAGATGTATTATGGACATTTTATGTAAGTGGAATCATATAATACGTGGCCTTTCGTGATTGACTTTCACTTAGCGTGTTTTCAAGGCTTGTCTGTTTGTTAAAGCATGCATCAGTACTATTTTGATTGCTGAGTACTCTTCCATTGTATAGACCTGCCACATGTTGTTTATCCATTCATCAGTTGTTGAACATTTAGGTGGTTTTCGCTTTTGGCTGTTATGAGTAATGCTGCTGTGAACATTTGTGTATAATGTTTTGTGTGTAATAGTAGAACGTATGAATGTCTTTTCAGTTCTCTTGGAGATATATATTGCCCTGAGTGAAATTGGCTGGGTCATATGACCACTCTATATTTAACCTTTGAGGAACGGCCAATCTGCTTCCCAAAACAACTGCATACTTTATAATGTTACCAGCAGTGTATGAAGGCTCTAGTTCCTCCACGTCCTCATTACCTTTTTTATTATAACCACTCTAGTGTGTGTGAAATGGTATCTCATTGTGGTTTTGATTTGTATTTTCCTGGTGATTAATGATGTTAACATCTTTTCAAGTGCTTTTTGGTTATTTGTATATCTTCTGTGAATAAATATCTGTTCAAATCTTGTACCTCCACTTTTTAAAATATTTTTTTTTGGAGACAGGATATCACTTTGTCATCTAGGCTGGACTGTAGTTGCTTATTTCATTGTAGCCTTGAACTCTTGGGCTCAAGCAGTCCCCCTACCTCAGCATCTCGAGTACCTGGGACCACAGGTGTGCACCATTGTGTACTCTTAATTTTTTTTTTTTTTTTTTTTTGGTAGAGATGGGGGTCTCCCTGTGTTGCCCAGGCTGGTCTCCAACTCCTGGTGCTTAAGCTGTCCTCCTGCCTCAGCCTCCCATAGTGCTGGGATTACAGGTGTGACCCACTGTCCTTGGCCCTGGCTGCCCATTCTTTTTTTTTCTTTCCGTTTTAATGTTTACAATTTAATAATCTCTTGATGATTGCAAACATGTATGACTGTTTGGTAGTATTCAGAAATGTTACAATAATGGCAGTTTTTTTCAGTTGGTGTGTAGTCCTCAATAATTATATGTGAAATTGCTGTCAAACCAGTAAGACTGCATTTATGCATCCATCATTTTCAGCATCGTTGGTAACTGGAACATGTTTTCCCCAAATAACTTTGCCTCCTTGAGTCACAAGGCCCAATTTACTCACATTTACCTCAACGATAGTACCTTTGGTAGTAACACCCAAAGTTGTATACAGCAGGGTTGAGGGATTCTTCTTTACAACAAGTATTGGTATGCAAAAGGTGGCTTTCAGTTCAGGATGTGTTACATGGGCTTTCTTGAAATGCAAGGCCTCTGGCATGATGAATCTTTCATATTTAGGTGGTTTTCTTGTAAAGCCATCTCCAACAAAGCAGACTTTAGTAACCATCCTCTTCCATGCCTCCTCCTTTCTCTTTCCTGTTGGAGTAACTTTTAAGACTTCTGTTTCTCCCTGGGCATGTACTTTAGGCAGAGGGACTTCCCATTTTCCCGCCTTCTGTTTTTGTTTCTGTCTAATCATATTGGGAAGTACTTTAGCCCGAGGCTGTCCCTCTCTGTCCACCAGATAGACAGGTAGTGCTCCCTGTGGAGTCTTTTCATCATTCTTTTGTTGGTGTTTCTCTTTTCATGCATCTTGATAGTCTTTTTCATTTGTATTTCTCAGCATGACCTGTTTATGGGAAAGCTTAGCCTTCAGACCAGTCATTTTCTTTGCCGCCTTTGAACGTTCTCGAGCCTCTCAACTTTCCCTCTTTCTCTTTTTCTCATAGTAATCCAAACGGTATCCATAGCATTTACAGTGTAATTCAGTATATTAGTTCTGTGACGTGGTGATGGTTGCAGAGCTGCAGGAGCAGCCCCTGGGGTGTGAAAATGTTCTCAATTTTTGGGTCTCAGAGACCCATGAGCCGGCACCGCACCCCATTCTTAAATCGAGTTTTCTTTGTTGTGTTATTTAAATATTCTGGGTACTTATAATATAGGTGATTTGCAGATTTTCCTCCCATTCTGTGAGTTTTCTTTTCACTTCCTTGATAGTGTCTTTTAAAGCTTAAAAAATTTTTAATTTTGGTGTATGCCTGTAGTCCCAGCTACCTAAGAGGCTGAGGTGGAAGGATTGCTTAAAGCCAGGATTTCAAGACCAGCCTGGGCAATAGTGCAAAACATACTGAGACCCTGTCTCCAAAAATTAAAAATTAGCCCGTCACGATACTGCATGTCTGTTGTAACTACTCAGGAGACGGAAGTGGGAGGTTCGCTTGAGCCCAGAAGTTGGAGGTGGCAGTGATTTATTATGACACCACTGTTCTCCAGCCTAGTGACAGAGCAAAACCCTGTCTCTTAAAAAAAAAAAAAAAAAAAAAAAAAAAGTTTATTATTTTGATGAAGTCCAATTTATTTTTTCTTTTTGTAGTTTTTGCTTTTGGTGTCATCAAAGAAATCATTGCCCAATCCAAGCTCATAAAGATTTGCATATTTATTTTCTTAAAAGAATTTTGTAGTTTCAGTTTTTATTTAGGTCTTTATCCATTTTGAGTTAATTTTTACAACCATCCAGTCTTGCCCACTTCAATTAATTTTTCACACAAAGCCAGAATGATCATACAACTCATCAGGTTGTGCCATTACTTTTTTAAAGCCTTCGTTGGCTTCCCATCACACCAAGAATAAAATCTAAACTCTGTGACCTAAGGTGGGGCCCATGTGGTATTTCTGCCCTCTCTCCATGTTTGGTCACTGCAGTCTACCCATCTTGGAGGCCTAAGAGTGGCTCAAGCAGGTTAAGTCTTTTGCTGTCTTAGGACCTGTAGTCATGCTGTTCCCTCTGCTTGCTGTTCTGTTCCCTGCCTCCGTAGCCTTGGCTCACTGTTGTAATTTATTTTCTCAGAGAGGCCTTCCTGACTACCCTTGCTCCACTTATTCATTGCCCAGTACCCTGTTCTTTAATTTCACCGCACTGCTTGGTAAATAATTCTCTTTGTGTTTTTTTGCTTACTAATCTGTTTTCTGCCTCTATTCCTAAAAAGAAACTCTGAGTAGGAATTGTCCCTGTGTGCTCACCATTATTTACACATTCCCTGGCCTGGCACAGTGGACACAGTAATGTTTGAGTGCATGAATGAATGAGGTACCGTGTGTGTGTGTGTGTGTGTGTGTGTGTGTGTGTGTGTGTGTGTGTGTGTGTGTGTGTGTGTGTGTCTGTCTGTCTGTGTGTGTTTGTCTGTGTGTGTCCGTATGTTTTTCTTTTTGAGACAGTCTCATTGTCCTCAGACTGAAGTACAGTGGCGTGATCTCGACTCAGTCTGAGTGCAATGTCTGCCTCCCTGGGTCAAGCGATTCTCCTGCCTCAGCCTCCCAAGTAGCTGGGATTACAGGCACCCGCCACCATGCCCAGCTAATTTTTGTATTTTCAGTAGAGACAGGGTTTCACCATGTTGGCCAGGCTGGTCTTGAATGCCCAACTTCAGGTTATCTGCCCACCTTGGCCTTCCAGAGTGCTGGGATTACAGGCGTGAGCCACCGCACCTGGCCCTTTCTTTTTTTGTCATCTCAACTGAGCTTTTCCTGACGGGTGAAGAGAAGGCCTCTCACCTTCTCTTTTAAGAAGTGTATTTAAGGGATATTTCAGTTGATCATAAAATGAAAGATTAATTGGTTTATTTGTGGTAAATTAATCTGATCTTCAAATTCTTCCCTGTATTTTTCTGTGCTTTATGTTCACCTGCAGTAGGAAGGAGAAGGGGGGAAAGCTATCTTGCTTGTGTGGCTTACAGATAGACATAAGAATTTCCAGGGAAAAGTACAGTTGGAAATGATTTGCCATCTCAGGAATAGGATTTAAAAAGGAATACACCTAGATCAGGCGTTCAGTGTACATTATGGTCATATTTTACCCGAAAGTTAAATATTCTTAAAGTACTGTTCCAAGTGGGAGAAAGGATATGTATTCTTAGAGAGTCTTCATGGTCCTGGGCGTTGTACTATGGGTAACTCTTAGCTCTTCACTCTTAAGCAGCTGGACTCTAGCCATGTTTACCTGGAGGTAAGTAAGCACTGTTAGAATACTGGTTTATCACCAGGGAGCACCATTTGTGAATAGTTTGGGAGGACAAGAGCAGAACTGTTCTTTTTGCATGTTTGTTTTTGAAGGCCTAGCTCCTATTTGTTAATTCAGTTAATAATTGTTCCTTTTCTGAAGCTCTCTAAGCTTCCAAAACAGGAATCCACTGCATTTTACTAAAGGGTCTTAACTAAGTGGTAATGTGGTGGGAAAATGATGTATATGCTCTCAATTCTATGTAAATAGCACACCTGAACTACCATGTTAGGAATATATTAAGGTTGCCATTAATGAAAATTTCTTACCTTTGAAGTGGAATTGAAATTTAATTTTATTTACTCCATATATACATTTACATCAAGTTTAGTCATTTACTTAGATTCATTGAGGAGAAATATATTTGATAATGTACTCAAACAAAAAATCAGTAAATTTGAATAAAGCTAGCTTATAAGTTTGAACTTGATTAACTCAGTCAAAACAGAAAATGAATTGTTGGAATTCACATGGTGGGAAAAGTATCTTAGAAATAAATAGGTAGGCCGGGCGCGGTGGCTCACGCCTGTGATCCCAGCACTGTGGGAGGCCGAGGCGGGTGGATCACGAGGTCAAGAGATAGAGACCATCCTGGTCAACACGGTGAAAACCCGTCTCTACTAAAAATACAAAAAATTAGCTGGGCATGGTGGCACGTGAGGCTGAGGCAGGAGAATTGCCTGAACCCAGGAGGCGGAGGTTGCGGTGAGCCGAGATCGCGCCATTGCACTCCAGCCTGGGTAACATGAGTGAAACTCCGTCTCAAAAAAAAAAAAAAAAAAGAAATAGGTATTCAGAGTGAGATAAAGAAATACTAAAATTTTTATGTAGATTTGGCTTATGTTGGCCTTTAATGATATTCTAATTTCCTTCTGTTTTGAGTCAGCAAATTTTAGGACATTTATGAATATTAAAGTTCTTCACATATCAGGCACTATAGGAATAAATAGGAAAAAGTATGTGTCTGAGTTAATACAGAACTGTTTTTCCCGCCTTTTCTTTTTTTTTCTGAGACAGAGTCTTGCTTTGTTGCCCAGGCTGTAGTGCAGTGGCACAATCTCAGCTCACTGCAACTTCCATCTCCCAGGTTCAAGCAATTCTCCTGCCTCAGCATCCCAAGTAGCTGGGGTTACAGACACGCACCACCACGCCTGGCTAATTTTTTGGATTTTTAGTAGAGACAGGGTTTCACCGTGTTGGCTAGGCTGATCTCAAACTCCTGACCTCAGGTGATCCACCCACCTGGGCCTCCCAAAGTGGTGGGACTATAGGCATGAGCCACCACACCTTGCCTCTCCTGCTTTTTCTAAATTGACCAACTGCACCATTGATAAATCTGTTTGCCATACTTTCAGATGAATAGGTAATCTTATAGCTTGGCTTAAAAAATTATCCTCATGTGTTCCATTGTACCCTGATTAGACCTCACCCACACTTAAAGGGATTTTGGTTCTAGTTCTTTAGCAATGTGATAAATTTTTTGGACCACTAGATACTCTTTGACTTTTAAGGTGATGATATTTTCAGTTATCCTGGCTTCATGTTTCTGAAGTTTGAATGAATCGTTCCACCATTTGAAAGGAATAAGTGATCAGAGAATTAGCCCCTTTCATTTTTAAGGATGTGATGGCACGTGTAAATCACTTTATGTTCTTGGAGTCTCACTAGTACTACCATATATCTACTTTTCTTTTCCAGTGATTTAATTTGCCAGAAAAGTGGAACCTCCAAGCTGTGTACCCATTCTTAAGCACTGTTGGCCTGATGACTGAGAGGACAAGTGACAGGGCTGTCCACACTACCTCTTCTCTTGCTGCTTAGCTCTGCATGGCATGGCTTCCATACCATCTGTCTTGCTTAGGCTGCCAAATTCATAAGAATAGCTCTGGCCAAATGCGCAATCATATTACAATGTCAGAAGTCTTCTCTGGAGGCCACATCTCCTCAGTTTGTTCTTTCTCTTAGTTGAGCAAATGAAGTTGTGCTTGAAGTTCTCACAAACATCTGTGATTTGAGAAATATTACATATAGGGCTTGAAATTTGAGGGCATGGTTTTGACGTACGGTTGTTTAGACACAAAAATGCTGGTTACATGAAATGATGAAATAATGCTTACCTCATAGTATTACTGGAAGATTTAAGTGAAGAAAGTCATATAAAAGTACCCCACTCTCTGTCAGCTTATAATTAAAAAGCAGTAACTATTTTTTGAGCTCATTGTACTGTGCCATGTGCTAAATACATTACAATATTTGATTTAATTCTCTAACTAACCTGCAGAGCAGGTCATATGAATTCCATTCAACACATGAGGAATTTCAGAGAAGCCAAGTAATGTGCCTGAGGTCACACAGCTTCTAAGTGGTGGTGTTGGGATTTGAATCTGATCTGTGAAAAGCCTGTGCAAGCAAAACTACTCTTTACAGTGGGCTCCAGTCAGTAAGTCAGTCACTTCATTTGCATTTATTTGAAGACTGTTAAGACTGATTTTTTTTATTTGTTTGTTAATGAGTAACATTTTCTATTTGTAATGGGCCTGTGGAAGACTTTTGCCCCTTTATATGTTGGGACTGTTTCTGATTATCATATGCTTGCACAAGCTTCTCATGTGTTAATCACATATTTAACCTTTCTCTTCCTCATACCTACAAAATTTTGTACTTGGATATGCTTTAATTTCTCACGTTCTACATGGGTCCTTCACATTGTCATTTTTCTTCAGGTCTGTTCTGTAGAATCTATTAAGAGACTTTTATTCAGAAGTATCTCCTTATTCTGGGGCTTTTTGCATTAAGAAACAGTATAATGTCATCTAATTATAAGAGAACCAAGTTGTATTAATGTGCAGGATGAGTAATCGTTAACTCTCAGGTTTCACATTGGGGTAGTAGATCGGAAGTCCTTAAGAAAGAATTGCTTCTATAAAAAAATAAAATAAAAACCTTCTATACAATTACTTTTTTTTTTTCCTTGTGAGACAAGGTCTTGCTCTGTCACAGGCTGGAGTGCAGTGGTGTGATCTCAGCTCACTGCAATCTCCCTTTCCCAGGCTCGAGCAATCCTCCCCACCTCAGCCTCCTGAATAGCTGGGGATATAGGCATGTGCCACCACACCTGGCTAATTTTGTATATTTTGTAAAGACAGGGTTTCACCATGCTGCCCAGGCTAGTCTCAAACTCCTGGCCTCAAGCTGTCCTCCTGCCTCAGCCTCTCAAAATGCTAGGATTACAGGCATAAGCCACCATGCCCAGCTAAATATTCTTAATCATTTTTATTTAAAATGTAAAAGATTATATATTCATTTCTACTGGATTACTTTGGGATTGAAATAAACTAGTTTATCAGACTTAGAATGTGGTCACCTTCGATTGCGGTACTCTTGCAAGCAGTTTGATAGATACCAAGAAAGAATTGATGGTGCTGTTAAATATATCCAGTATCTCTCTTCTCCCAGCAAAGTTCCTACGTTCGTGAGGATGATTGCTCCCGAGGGCTCCTTGGTGTTTCATGAGAAAGCCTGGAATGCATACCCCTACTGTAGAACAAGTAAGCCTGGCCCCCAGCAGCCATTTCACCCCTCCACCCTGAGGATGAGGAGAAGGGACTCTGAGTACCAATGTCTTTGAGAAGGGTTACACTGAGCAAAGTCTTCCTTGGGTTTTTGGACAGTCACTGCCAAAATGATGGCAGACGAAGGACTGCATTGGGTTCCTCCCCGCAGAACTTTGTGGCAGGTATAAGTTCATTCCCACATGGCAGCCACATTGGGGTCCTTGCTGACTATGCTGGCTCCAGGGGTAAGCCAAAAGAAAGGTCATTCACACTCAGAAGTGTCTTTTTGTGCATTTCAACAGTGTTTTTACTTACATTGCTACATAATAGAGGAGGAATAAACAGACTTCTGAAACAGCATCCTATCATATGCTAAATTGATCTTATACATAATGTTTTGCTTGTGTGACATTCTTTTTAGCATTATTTTAAAAATTATTCATATTTTATTTGTACTCCATAATCTAAATTAATGTACCATATAGTGTCACTTGTGTAGAAACTATGTTTTGCAAACATAGCTATTAAATAAATGTTGTGTTTTCAGATAGTTTAGTCTTTGTGACATTAAATATTGGAACAGATTGTTTGACTCCAATTAATATTCTGAAAATTTTCTCCTTTTTATTACCTGCCTCTCCATTGTGCCTCAGTTGTAACGGTGAGTAAAACGATTTTTGTGTCTGTTACTTTCATCTTTAAACTTTGTTTTACACAGTAATTATTAACCATTCTTTGCTAACTGCCCATCCCTGCATGGTTCCCTCCTGTGTCACCTCCACCAGCCACCACACTCTAACACATGTTCCCAGTGTTCATGGGCTCTTTCTGCCCGTGTCTCAAAATCTCCCTATTGATGTTATGTTGCTTTTCTTACTCCTTTCAAATGCCAAGTTTGCTTACCGGGCCTCACAGCTTCTTTATTAGCCCAGTATGCTGCATGGCAAGTAGGATTGTTTGAATTATTTAAAAGCATGCAGCATTTGGTTTGCCTGACAAGTCTACAAAAATCGGTAGCTAATGATTCTTTGTCACTTGAGGATCAGTCTCCTTGTAGAGTCAAAGCCTGGATGTCCATAGTGGGAAAAGCTCCCTCAGATGTGGCACCAAGGAACAGGTAGAAGATCACTATCATTTTCCTGTTGTGTTTTTTCTGCAGAATGAATATATGAAAGATGATTTCTTCATTAAAATCGAAACATGGCACAAACCAGACTTGGGAACATTAGAAAATGTAAGTTTCAACTCTGCACTTTTAGTACAGAAGTCCCTGAAAAAGAGAATCCTATGTTTTTCACTTTGTCATCACCAAAGTAATGTCACCTGTGTTAGACTAGTATCTGACCACACCAAGCCGTGTGAAATTGAGGTGAGGCAGGCAAGCAGCCAGAAACCAAATGAGCTTTCCCTATCAGTCCCCTTGCCTCAACACTTTGGTGAAATTGCTGTTTTGATCAGCCGCTCTCTTTAACTGAGACAAAGAGAGCATGGGTAAAATTCACAGATAAACCCCAGCCCAGTTTTAGCCATTAGTTTTGCTAATTAGATTGCTCTCATCTCTGAGTGTTTTTGCCAGAGCTGCTCTGCATAGCAGGATTGATTGCTTTAATTTTTACCTCCTGTCTGCTTTGCTAGAGTATGGGCTGATGTCAGAGAAATGACCAAAAGGCAGGAGGGATAAAGTACTGTGAGTAATTACACAAATGTTGAGAAGCTCTTGACTTTTGTAAGTTGGTGCACATTTATCTCTAAGATTCAAGAACATCTTTGACTCAGGACTCAAAGAAATGTAATCATTAACTTTTGGTAAGGTCTGTCATGGAACTTGGGAAGGCCTCTTGGATAGGTTGATGCCCTTGGTCCAGCAGTTCTCAAAAGGGTGGTCTTTGGATGGGCCAGCAGCAGCACAGTATCTGGGGACTGGCTTGAAATGCAGATAACCTGAGTCACCTAGACCAGAATCTCTAGGGATGGGACTCAGCAATTTCTGTTTTCTGGTGCGCATTCATTCCAGTAGAGATCTGTTCCAACCTGATGATACGTTATTATAGGAAACTAAGTTAATAATTGTGGCAAATTCTGTTTTTACTGTTCTATTACTGTGCTCTTATGTTATTGATACCAATTAATAGAACTTTGAATTTTGATCTGTAGTATTTGACTGTTCTTTCAAGTGACCATTTGACATTTTTATGTTGTTTTCCTTCCTTTTTTTTTTTTTTTTTTTTTTCAGATAGAATCTCACTTTGTTGCGCAGGCTGGGGTGCAGTCACACACTCTCTGCTCATTGCAGTCTCTGCCTCCTGAGTTCAAGCGATTCTCCTGCCTCAGCCTCCAAGTAGCTGAGACTGCAGGCGTGCACCA